GAATACATACATCACCCTGCCCCTCCCCCCGGCTGAAATAAAATCATTAAATCCCCAAAGACTGTGGTTCTCTGTGCTAGTGCAGACCTCCTGTGAAAAGCAATGGAAAGCTTTATAGCTTGTAGAGGCCCATTTTCAGCTTTGCACAAGGGTCAAATCCAGTGTTTTCCTTCTACTTATGCTGGTCCTTAAACAACGTGTTACACAACTCACGATTTCATTCAGCTAAGTCCTGGTTGCTCTAAACATTTTAGCCAGTTTGCTAACATTAGCCAACTGCTGATAGAACACTATCTATCTATCTATCTATCTATCTATCTATCTATCTATCTATCTATCTATCTATCTATCTATCTATCTATCTATCTATCTATCTATCTATCTATCTATCTATCTATCTATCTATCTATNNNTATTTATTTATTTATTTATTTATTTATTTATTTATTTATTTATTTATTTATTTATTTATTTATTTTTTTATTTATTTATTTATTTATTTATTTATTTATTTGTACCACTTCTTATACTTTTTCTGTTGGCCTGATGCCAGACACCATCCAAATATCTGTCTTGAACTATCCATTCAGTGAAAAAGGGAGGACAATCAACATGGGAGTGAGTGAATTAACCTCATTGTGCTGTTGGACATTGAGAATTAACAATTTTGGCAAGTAACCTGAAGCATGGCTTGGGGGGGGGAGGGGTGTAGTGAAAGGCACAAAAAAAATACCTAGGTACTTCTCCATTCCTATCTTTCAAGGTAACTGCTTTTTGACATGTCGATTCCTATTCTTAGGTGCTAATTCATTCCTGCTGTTTGTCCAAAAGGCTCTTTGTGCCAGAAAGAGGCAGCCAAAGCCTTATATAATGGCTGCAAAGCACAACTACATTCAGATTTGAAGAAACAATTAATGTTCTTTTTCTAATTACAAACCTCCAAAAATATTATTTTCATTCAGAAGTCATAAACTCAGCAGGAAACTACTGTACAGTGTTCCTGTGCTGCTTGCTATAAATACATAATATTCTTCTGTGTGCAAAAGATGTTTTAAACAATAATTCCTGAGAGCTCCATATTTTACCATACTCTGAATCCTTTCATCTTGTAGAGACGAGTAATCATGTATTGTGATCTGTTGTAGACAATATACCAAAGTGACTGCAGCTACATAAGTATTGATTCATATACTAAAGATGAATACTGCAGATCTGCATCCAGTTTGCTCCACATTCCTCACTACAGTTCTTACTTACATAGTACTGGGTGATAAACACCATATGATGCCTTTGACAGAAACTCACAAAAGTAGGCATCAAAAGAAGATAAAATCAGTGGAAAACATTCAAAATCCACTCCCACAATCCTTTTTAACAGAAATCTCATGTTTACCACTGCCCAATATATTCTTACATATACCAATATATAAATCTTAACAGGTTACAGAGTAAAAATCATTGGACAGTATCCTGTTGCACAGTTCCACCTGTTCAATCATAGTGATTTGATCTGGATCATTGCGCATGAGTCACATATACCCCCAAACTGAAATTCTTCAATTAGCAGAAAGAAATCTATGCTTAAATAATGCTTACGGGCACATCCACGTATTTGGAAGCTGCCTTCACCTGAAAGAAAACATAAAACAAACTTTAAGCTAAAGCTGATGTTTTCAAGAAATACAGACAATACTCAAACATTTGTTGCAAGTTGGAAACCCATTCTGGGAACATGTTCAATTAGGTGAATTATTTGTTTTAGAAACAACAGAGCAACCTTGTCGCTCCAGTGTTACGCTGACAAAAAGGACTCTCTACCTATATTACTGGACTGGACTGGAAGCCTCAGCAGTGTGATTCCATCCATGCTGCCCAAGTAATCTGAGAAGCCCCAGCACACACTAGGAGGACTTCCCACTGCAGCTCCATGGCTTGGGGTGACATGCATTGTGCTAGTGATGTGCATTGTGCTAGCTGCACTTTAGTGATCCCCGGTTGACTCCTCTGCCAGTAAGGTAGGTCTGGGAAATGTGTCGCCCTCCAGATGTTGTTGGAATGCAACTCCCATAAGCCTCAGCATAGCCAAGGCAAGGGGATGATGGGAGCTGCAAGTACAGCAACAATTGGAGAGCCACATGTTCCCTAGTACTCCATAACATCAATGTAAGAAGAGCCCCAACATGTTGATAGTCTGCAACAATGCCTTCTCCACCAGCACCTTAGACTCTGTATCACAAGCTGAGCGGTCACTGTGGTAAAGTACTGACGATCAATATTATTATATGGACAATAAAAACCATTTGCCAAATAAAAATGAAAGATGAGAGCTGTAGTGAGAATTATAGCACTGCCTTGCTATCTGAGAACCTATCGAGCTGAAATAAATATAAACATATTAGGTTGGAGTCAGATTTGCTATTTGCATAAAAAGGGACCAAAATCTAGTAGACGCATCTGCTGGAAGAAGAGTGGTGGTGGAAAGAGGCATTCTATTTGCCAGCTTTCTCTTCCCATTTGCATGTTATTGTTTATATAATTATGCTGAAAACAGCACAGAGAGTGCTCCAAGTGCTCTGAGGTGGTATATAAGTCAAAACAGCAACGACCTCATTGTTCCAGTGTCCAGACATTCCAGAATAGCACTTGGTAACAGACATAATCAGGGAAAAGGCAAAATGGCACAAATTGTTTCCTTCCTGCTCCAGAGCAGAATCCCATGGATGGAGTACCACTCATGGCTAGTCTGCATCCAACCCATGACAAGAAAGGAAGGAAGGAAGAAGGAAGGAAGGAGGAAGGAAGGAAGGAAAATAAACTTCAGTTTTTATGTCAGTATAACACTACATGTGCAATAGGTAGAGTGACATTCTGTAAAAAGATTTCATTGGGCAGCCATTTTAGAAGGACTGACTTGCACATATAACCATAGATTCTCCATAAACAAGATGAAGTGGCAGAGTGTATGTTGGTTATGTGCCTGTTCAGGTATACAACCATGCAAACAGTACAAGCCACAGCATCTTATCAGTTAGGTGCCATTTGCTGTGACATATTACAAGAAAACCTATAGGGTTCCAGCCAGAATGTCACTGGAGAGATAACGTCCATAAGTGGTAAAAGACATATCTTTATCCTAGCACAAATTTGAGTCATCCAACATATTGCCAATTCGTTTGTTTTTATTTTGTGATTGGTCCTTGGCAGGTAAACATGGGCTTCATTTTCTCAGTCCGACTGCTCAGGCATGGAGGATCTCTGAAAGAATTGTGTGCTTTGAAGGAAACACTGCAATAGCAGGAAATACATACTAATGCTATCACATTCAAATAACTTGTGTTGAATTGGAATAAACACCTGCTAGCCCTAGCCCTAGTGTCCTTTTTGCTTGGTTTATCTCAGTTGGCAACTTATTCCAGAGGATCTACTTCACAGGAGGCACAGTGGGGAACTGAACTCACAACATCTGCCACCACAGCCAGACACCTAAGCCATTGAGCTATCCATCCAAAAGGTACAGTGGGGTCTCTACTTAAGAACTTAATCCGTATTGGAAGGTGGTTCTCAAGTTGAAAAGTTCTTATGTTGAATCTGCATTTCCCATAGGAATGCATTGAAGACCATTTAATCCGTATCTGCTCTTTTCCGTCCATAGAAACTACAGTGGAACCTCTACTTAAGAACTTAATCCATTTTGGAATGGTGTTCTTAAGTTGAAACGTTCTTAAGTTGAAGCAAAATTTCCCATAGGAATGGACTGAAAACCAATTAATCCGTTCTGGCTGTTTTTTTTGTTATGTAGAGGTGTGTTCGTACATTGAAGCATTAGTTCCCATAGGAACTAATGCAAAGCTGGTTAATACGTACTTTACCACTAGGGGGAGAATTTTTTTTAACCTAAGATGACCTTAAAAAAAGAGCAGGAAAGGTTTTTTTTCCTGTTCTGATCTTGGATTTCTGTTCTCAAGTAGAAGCAAAATTTAGCAAATGGAGCTGTTCTTAAGTTGGATTGTTCTTAAGTAGAGACGTTCTTAAGTAGAGACCCCACTGTACAGGGATACCCAGATGTTGATGATCAAAATCAAGCCTGCCATTAATATCACTGGCATTTGAGAAAATTGTGTAAGTAGATGATATCTTCTGTGCTAGAAATCAAATCAGGCAGCATTTCTAAGTATTTTCAGTATGGTTGCATTTGAACTTATGCATGGGACTAGTCTAGTTCTTCCTGTTAATATATTCAGTGTTACATGCACACATAAACAATTCTCTTTAAGGAAGAATGCTCTGACTTAACAGTGGGAGGAAAGGAACTGAAGTGGGAGCACATGGCCTGTGAAAAGAGGCTGATACATTACATAGGATGAAGACAGTCTAGTGCCCACTACACCTTCACTCCTGATATACAGTGTGTAGGACAACTGGTTCTGAAAAATATTACATATGGCATTATTTGCAGAAGTAGCTGGTTTATTTTTCTCTTGCTGACATAAATTAATTTAATTTGTAAGATGCCGCAGTAAAAGGAAAGGAAAATGTGGTAAGTGCTTACTGTGGTAGCAAAACTAGGTATACAAATACAGTGTTTTTGTGATCGCTATTGTGATCGCAAAACAATGTTTTAATGGGCAAAATCCACTTTGCGACTATCGGTTCCCTGCTTCGGGAACCAATTCTTCGCATTCCGACGATAAAAGCAGCTGATTGTCAGGTTTTCAAAATGGCCGCCGGCCGTTCATAATGGCTCCCCGCTGTGTTCAGGACGGATTTTTCACTGCACAGGCATCGAAAAATGGCTGCCCTATGGAGGATCTTCGCTGGACGCTGAGTTATTTTGCCCATTGGAACGCATTGAACCGGTTTTTAATGCATTTCAATGGGCTTTTTTATTTCACTTGACGAGGATTTCGCTCTACAGTGATTTTGCTGGAACAGATTATCCTTGTGAAGTGAGGCACCACTGTAATGGTCTATGAAAAATTCTACTTAAAATAAAAGCCCCAATTTAGCAGTCATGAAACTGCAAGAAATAAAATGAACACTTGCCATAAGATATAATATAGCAATATTATATCTGTCTGTCTTCCACATTTCTTTCTCACAAAAACTCCTTAAGCTTTTTTAAAGTAAAATCAGCCAACCACAACAGCATGTTTTACTTCACTGCAAAATCTGGCTATATGTGCTACAATTTACACACTGCCAGATGTTGTGTTAGTTTAGCTAGGCTGTTGCTTCTCTAGAATTATGCGATCCCCCCCCTGAAATTTCTCAGTTTACAATGAAAATTTGTGCAGAACAAAAATAAGATTGTCAGTAAATTTTCCTGGGGGTAAAATACACTCTCTAGTTTTAATCAATGTAGCAGCTAATTCATTCTCCCCCCTTTTCAATGAGAAGAGACTCTTCAGATTAAATGGATCTTCAGCAGCTGTCATCAGCTTGGTTGCAATTCATTTCATAGGCAGAGTACCTATCTAATGACTGAACTGTTATGTCTAAGAAATACTACTGATTATAGAAAACAGTGATGCAACCAAATGTAGAATATTACATTTTTTTGAGGGGGTGGAATCCAAGAAATACTTTATAATGATGTGGCTAGTGAGAATGCTATTAGGACAACTGATGCATTAATTTTAAGTTGAATTTCACAGCAAGGATTGAAAACGAGGCTACCCTACTAGGTGATAAAACAGCTTGTCACAAGACCCCTGGTGACATGTCATTTTCTAAGAAACTGGACAATGTTTGATAAAAGAAGTTGGTAGAAGGTTGGTTCTTTTAAGATTTGTTTGTCATACTCTTGAATAATTACTTAAAAAGTAATTTGTTATTTAAACAGTATAAAGGCTAGCAATTTTGATTTTTGAGTAATGATTATTGTTTTGTTTTTTTAATGTTACTTTCGGGGTTAATTTGGTAGTTTGGGGTAAATGTTAGTAATCTTTACCGGATTTTAAATTAACATGGGTAACACATTAAACATTAATCATTGTGAATTCATTTTGTAATTTTCAATGGAGTGTAATTTGCAATGAATTCATTTTGTGATTTTCTTTTACCAGTCGAAGACTGATGAATTAATTTTCTTTAACGGTTCACCATTAACATGGCTAGGTGAATGCTACTATTTCCAATGTGGCTGTGGCCAAATTGTCATTTTAGATGACTTGCTCATGTAGCCAAAAGAGAAGCACACCGAGAACAGACTATTGTAGACATGTCTTTTCTTGTTCCAAGTCAAAGATGATGCTGAGTCTAGATAACAACAGTGCCTTGCTATATATGAAGAAACATAAGGGAGGCCTCCTGATACCATCTTATTCTGTGGCCTGGTTTGAAAGTGCAGTTTGCATTCTGCAGGAGCACACACACATCCTCTTCACCTTCTCCCTTGCTTCCTCTCTTCCTTATTGAACCACACTTAGCCATTACTTCTAATTAGGTAATTGTGATGTCATGCCACTATGCTGTCAAAGATTGTAAAGTCTGGTTTAAGATTCTGGTTAGTAAACTGATATTCATATGCATGGGTGTATTTATATATCAGTGACGGCAGGCACCTACTGTGGCTGATGAGGCAGAAGGTAGAGCAGTCAATAGTGGACAGAGTCAGAAACTGCAAACGTCCTTCTATCTCCATCTTCTTCCTCTACACTCATATAATCTCACCTGGATGACTGAGAATCTTTACAGATACTGTGAAAAATACTTTACATACGTGATCTTGTTTCAGTAACTTCTTCAGGTTAGCCAATATCATGATTCCCATATCAAGGATAATACTGTATACCTTTCCTAAGGAGAGCTGGTATGGAACTGCATTAGGTTCTGGTTGCTGATTAAGACAACTCCATAATTACCACGGAATGCTACTTGTGTGGGCTTTGCAACCTGTGCTTATTGCCACCAGCTTTGGAGAACCGATGGAGCACCAAAAGCATCCTGTGTGCTAGGACTGTGCAGGTCAGAAGTGTCAAATGAAAACTTCACCACCCTAATTACAGCCAAGTGGATGTGCCCCAATTTCCATTGGCATTAACTGCAATAAGCCAGAACATTCGTACCTCTCCCAGTAAAGACTTATGTGCAATGCCAGAGAGGCAGTATCCACTGAGGAACAGCTTGGATCCTGAGAATATGAATTGGTCTACTAGGGCTGATGCTGGCATTTGCAAAGCCTCAAAAAGCTGCCACCTCCACATCCTCTTCTGTTGGCATCCAAAAGACATCATCTCCTGCTGGCATTGCTCAAAGGAGAAACAAGTTTTGCAAGCCTGCGAATTATTCTCCAGCTTGGACTGAAATTGGAAACTGAAAGTCACATTGGAAAATAGTTGATACAGTATTTTTTTGGTCAGGTTCCTTCTTTGCGTATCTTCCCTCAGAAAACACAGACACTTCACCATGTTCGATGGTCTTCTAACGGGTCAACACCTACTTCTATTGCTGGCTTTAATGTGTACCATCTTTTATTCTCTTTGGCACTAAAGTTGGGTTCTGCTTTGTTTTTCAGGTCAAATATGTTACCGTTACTACCAGCATTCTTACTACCATTGAAATTGTTATTCTCACTCCCGCTTTTCACTCATGCACTAAAATGGAAGGGAAATACACTGCAGGGACTCAGTCTGAGGATGAAGCAGTGAGGGTGTACCTTGCAAAGGGTCAATGGAATTTATCCTGTCTGCCTCCACAATTGGATTAGACCCAGTATTCTCCCACTAGCCTTTATGCAAGCTAAAGAAACAGCTTGGCTTTCTTGGCAGAATATCAGCAGTTAGGGTTTGATGTAGGGAGAAATCAAGAGTAGGATGACAGGTATTTTTAGGAGGTCTGTTGAACTGGGACAAGGGCATTTTGAGAGGAAGATCTCAAGGATTCCAAGTCATAGTTGCAGAAGAGGTAGCTGTGTTAGTCTGTGCAAGCATTAGAAGTAAAAACATATTTTTTAAATTAAAAAAACACATGGTGGCATCTTAAAGACTTACACGCCACCACGTCCCTACATTTTAATGTAATATTGTAATAATGCAATTTTATATTTTAAGGATTCCAAGATGGATTCCCATCTATATTATGCCCTTTCCAGATTAAAAGGATGGGAGAAGGGGGAAAAGTGGCTCATAGTCAAGTCATGGACTCTGCTTCTAGTTAAAAGAACAGGACGTAAAGCTGAAGGAGACTACAGACATTCAAATAAAGCTCAAGTTAAGGCGGTTTGAGGTTGTTCTTGAAACCACTAAGGAATAGCTGCTCTCACATTTTTGAAAACATAAAATCCTGTTAACTCAAATTAATCTGCATTCTCAAGCAACATGTATAGGTTTCCTGCCAAGTGCTGTTTTTAGAGATAGAATCGTGCTCTTGTTTCTAATTACAATTTTAATTTGTAGGTGCTCCTGCCTAAATGATATTGTGGGATTCTAATCCTTTATTTTCGTTCTTTATAACAAGCAAAAAAATAGGCTTGTATCACTCAATGACAAGATTTCCAGAATTCAGTTCATTGCCAGCTTGTTAAATCATGTACTCCTTCCTAGGCACATGATGTACCTTCCCAGATATACTTCCAGTCTACTTCTGCCATTGATGGGCAATGGCTATGCTACAGGTGATACATGTGAACATGAAAGTCTTTTGAATTACTCCTGAGATAAGTGGCACACTTTGTAGTCACACTGCTCAAGAACAGATATTTAAAAACCAATTAAGCAAACAATAAAACAAACAAAAACAAGCATACAAAAAACACAGTGGGAAAACAGATCAGAAGTACACATATACAAACACACACATGCAGGTATACAGCCTTATTACTTTTAACTTTTAAATTTATTACATTTATGCTCTCTTTTTTTTCTTGTCATGGTATTTGAAGTGGCTTATATAGTATTCCCAGGGGTTCTTTCATCTAACTACTTACAGGTCACAGACTTGCTTAGTTTGAGCAAGGTTGCTGTACAAGGTACCTTCAGATGATGCAACTAATGTGTTTGTTTTGTTCTGTTTTTAAAATTTTGAGTAGATCATTCAGTCCTTGAGCTCCTTCACTATTACTACAATGAGCAAGCAAATATAGCTTTGACATGTTAGACACGGTAATAATTTGTTTTTCCCCCCGTAAATTAAAAAGTGTGACACTAAAAGCAGGGAACTCACAGTAAATGAAAGGAAAGAAGAAAATAATGTCCCTTCATCATATCTGGATAGTTTGGCCAGGACTCCTTCCAAGATGGTGACAAACTGAAAAAAAGAGAGAGGAAGATAGTTTTTACTCGCAGAATAGATAAAAATGAAAAACAAGAAGCATGGCTCCTACAAATTATTGCAATTGAGTAGAACAGGAGTAAATTTATGAAAGTCTATTGGGTTTTACTGGTACATCAAACTGTTTACTCATAGGACATATAAAATGTCATCCTCTTGTTAGGAGTTAGATCTTTCCTGCAGAGGATAAGAAAAAAAAATAGAGGTATCTCTGTGTAACCAACATACAGTGCTATTTCCTAGAATTGATGACTTCTCTCAGAAATATTCATATCATGAAATGATTTCACAAGGCAAAACCAATCCACAATACCACTTCTTTAGTATCACATAGCTTTAATTCAGTGGTATATAAATTAATATTAGCCACAAGTGCTTTATGTTGGGAGGCATTGTTGGCTACTTTTCTCAATAGCTAGTTTTCTGTCATTCATTGATTCCTTTCTTGGTAACTGGAAAGGAGTTCCTTTCAAGCGAGAACCGTTTAAACTGAGAATATTCCACCCTGCATTTTGTCCATCTAAAGCATATCAAGTAGTTTGGAAGTCTATGATTGGATCAAGCTCATGCTTATTTCTGCCTGGTTAGGATGAAATGAATGATATAATTACCATAGGACTGACCTACAGTCTACTCAAAACAGCAGGCAAAAGTAAATAATTAAAAAGAAAATACATAAAAAACAGTTAAATCTCTGAAGTCCTGATGGCGCAGTGGTTAAAACGCTGTACTGTCGCTAAAAGTGTGCTCACGACCTGGGGTTCAATCCCAGGTAGCGGCTCAGGGTTGACTCAGCCTTCCATCCTTCCGAGGTCGGTAAAATAAGTAACCAGCTCCCTTGGGGAGGGGGCGCCTGCATAATTAAATTGTAAACCGCCCAGAGAGTGCTTGTAGCGCTATGGGGCGGTATATAAGTCCAAAAAAAAAAAAAAAAAAAGGAGAAAAAAGTCTTTGCCTGTTTTTTGAAGGCCAGAAAGAAACTAATTGTATGCCTCATTCATGTATTCTTAAAGCATGTGGTGGCCACAAGAAATAAAGAGTGCTAAGTTCAACCCTCATTCACTATATTCAGTACATAGATGGGACAGTCTGAATAGGGGGAAGCTCCTTTTTTTGTGTATCCTTTCCTGTGTATCACCTTGATGCAAGCCATATTCTTAAAAAAAACTAGGATGATGAAAGTTACAACACTGCTAATGTTGAAAGCTTCCCTCCTTTTAAAGAAGGCATGAATAGGGCTAATTTACAAAGATGGGATTACTTGAAGTGTTTTATTGCCTGGGCCTGTCTGGTTGGCCACATATGAAACATCCAGCCTCATCATCTAGTTACTAAGGTCTTCCTACATCTATAGATCCCTCTCCCCTTTCATAGTCTGCACTGAAGAAAAAGAGCATTATGTGAACAGGCTGCTAGGTGCCAAACGTGGCAGGTGGAGTGGGATCTTACCGAATGTCATAAATGCTTGTTGAACATCCTATGCATGCAGGGAGAAAGCTAAGTGACTGATGGCTTAGCAGAAGGCTTGGGTGAATGCAAAGGAATAAGTGCAACTATTTGGAGATTTTCTTGATTACTGGTAGGGGGCTAAAACTGAGGAAAGGAGTGCACACTTAAGCTCTACCCCAAAATATTATAGCATACCCAGAGGTATGTTAGATTTTCACACACTGAGCATTGCAGACTCCTGTAAAATATGAAGAGGGCTTTGTATCTTAACTGAACATAATTATTTATCTTTTGTGGCTGGGAGCTTAAGGTTCCCAAACATGGGGGCTCTGCAATGGTGTCCAGACATTTGTGCATGCCATACAAAGGTTCAACATGCTTCCCGATGTGCTGTTATGTATGGCAATGAGGCTTATATACATGCTCGTGATCTTGCCCACAGTTTTAAATCTGTCCGTGAATGAGGCCTGAATGAGGCTACTGTGTAATGGATCAGCTAGCTAAGGATCTGGAAAGAGGAATATGGAACCAATGAATGTACCTTTGCTCAAGGAGATCTCAACCCTACAGTAAATCCTTAAAGCTGTCACTAGCAGCTGGGACTAAGCCCATCAGGTCCTGATAACATGATCAAGTTCTGAAAACAGACACATTATAGTCTGTATCCCGACCCACAGGCTGTAGGTTGAGCACTCTCGTTCTACTGAATTTCACACAGATTGCCATCATGAGACAGTGCATCTGTCAAGACTAAGTGATGCATGATTTCTCTTGTGAGAAACAACAAATCATCTGAACTTCTTAATGTGTCACATTTTAATGGAAATACTCTTTTTAAAAAAAGGAGCGATGTTAACAGTGAATCATTTCACCTGAAGCTGAAGGTTACCTTTGCTACTAGGAGTGTTATCATTTCCTTGACGGTTTCTTCAATTAGTTCATCTATTTTTGAATGATACTGGTGCTAAGGAGGGAGGAAAAAGACGGATGCAAAATATTATTAGCACAATTTTTTTGCAGTGCACACTTCTTTCTTTGTTGCAGTTGTATCGACCATGATATTTAAACGTTGATTGACACGTGCTCTAGTGTAGTGGTCAATAATGTATTAACATTTACACATGAGTTGCTAGGTTTTGTTTTTAAACTGAGAAGAGTTTGATAAGGTTTCGTGGATGATGGCCAAACCCTAGCTTCAGTTCCATGCATGCAGCTGAGCCAACATTAATGAAAATCAAATGCATGCGGTGGAAGACAAAGTCCGACATCTTTTTGCTGTATGTAAATTATGATAATGGGGGTCAGTGTTGGAAGAACATATCACATCTGTTCTTTCTGTCAGTTTAGTGATGCGATTAAGATATTCAGATTTTTGAAGACCTAAACAATGACGAAAACACATCTCATGCTGTAAGGCAACATGGTAGCTGTCTTAATGTACAGCAGAGCTGTGAAGGACCTATAAAGATGTTGATTTTATGCTGATAGGCTGTAGTTAAAAGCAGCACACACTTTTAAGTGGAGCCACAGACAAGAATAAGTTGCATTCTTCAAGAAAGCTGGGCAGAATTTAATTCTTGGGCTCCACTTTTGGCAAACGAATTAGTCTAAAGATGTAAAGTTCCAAAGCATGTGCTTGTTAAGAACTCAAGTGAATCAGGGCCGTCATGACCAGGTGTAAAAATGATCAAAACATGGGTGTTCTGAGTCATGCAAAAGATGGTAAGTGCAGCACTGAGGCCCCTCAGTTTATACCATGCTGGGGCGTCGAATCAGTCATAGAAAAGACTGACACCAACTCAACATTCAGTTTCACTTTCTACATAGCACAAGTTTCCACCCACCCCTAAGTCTGCTATCCAAGTACTGACCAGATCAAACCTTGCTGAGCTACTGAGCTCTGAGAAAACCATCAAGGGTTGTGATTTCAGGCAAGAGCTAACCATTTTTGTTTATTTAAAACAACAACAAAAAACAAAACAAGCTTCTTACTAACTAAAGTTTGTGGTGTATTCATTTGTTTTTTTTGTCAAAGAACAGGAAAAATATTTAATATATGATGATTTCCCCCCCACATTCCCCTCCCCCACATTAAATAAAACACTGAAAATGCTGATGTTAGTCACTGTATTTATTTGCGCTAATGTTATTTTAAAATGTAAGCATCCAACCAGGAAAAAAAACCCAACTAAAACCCAATAACATTAAAAGAGACAAATCTGCTATAAATACTAAATCATGCTTTGGGGAACAAGGAGTGTGAGGGGCAATTATAAGTGTGAGACTTTGGTCCCTTAGAATTGACTAGTATTCCTTGCTAGTTTGAGCTGCTCAGTGTTTTTCTTTCTTTCAATGGAACAGTCACATACTACAACAGGAACTTGGAAGAAAAGAAAACAAAATGTAGGACACACTTACCCACTCTTTAGCAAACTTTCAGATGATTGGGGACAGAAATAAAGAGGAAGGTGCAGAAGACAGGAAAAAGAACATATGAAGGTAAACAATAAATAAAAACAAAATCTTCAAAAAAATGGGACCTTCTAAATGGGGGCCATGAAAAAGCAGCAGCATGCACAGAAACAATAAGCAACAGGAAATGAAATTATGAATAGAATCCCTTTTCACTGAAATACCTGAGGTCGCTATCAAAGAGAATCACATAGGAATTCAATTTTTTTTAAAAAAAGAGTTTTGAAAAGTGATTGTAGCACAGAACAGAACACATACACAGAACATATCTAGTGAGACAGAGAAATATCATCTTTCTTGTAACTGGGGAGGAAAAACACAAATATATGGCATGGCTGCAGTTTTCTCAGTTTCAATTGGCAAGCTTATTAGGCTATCTGGTTTCAGGACTGCTTGTGGATCTTCCCATTCATTCAATCATAAAGTTACAAATGTGTTAGGAAGAGACTGTGCAGCCAGAATTAATACAGGAACCTTGTCTAAGACATCCACATGTCAAAATACAATTGATTTTTAAATTATTATTTATCTCGTTAAAATTGGCAACCAACGTTTTAGAGAAACTACCATCATGCGAAGCTATAGGTCAAGATTCAATGGTGTACTTTTGTATCCAATGCCAGCAGAATAGGCAGTTCCTTACTCCATTGCCTCCTGCTGTAGCTCTTGATGAAGAGAGAGAAAAATATTACTACTTCAAAGGATTTCCCAGCCTTCTAGAGCAGATGTTTAGGATGCTAGAAGGCTCTGGGAGAATGTTGTTTATCTTGGTGGAAACAGGAGGATACAGAAGAAGTACATCATTGGATTCTGGATGAAATGTTATACCTCTTCTAGTCTTTCTTGTTCCTTTTAAACTACTCAGTAGAGTCTATTTGATTGAGAATTCATCCCCATACCAGCAAGATAACTAAATGTATCTGGTATGTGCCTGAATGGGAAATAAACCTTAAATAGCCAATGTAATGTAGAACATCCACTCCATTCTTCTTCAACTGACAGCACCTTCAGACTCTATTAGACTAGAGAATGGGGCAAAAAGTAATTGTCAGCATGGATGTATCTAACATGTCTGCTTCTCTACAGAGGTGAATGTTTGGTCTTGGAGCTGTGTCTAAAAACAAAGCAGAATCAGACGGCAGAGTCCCAAGATAGATTTGACTGTATCATTTCAGGCTAGAGGTGGGATACGTGATATTTGAATGTTTATCTCTGTTTAAAAAGATCCTCTGAAGGCTGAATGGGGTATATCAAAGGGTGTGTTTTGGATGCAAATAGCCCCAGGTAGAATGATGTGAAAGAGGTGATGTGAAAGGCCCTTTGCTTGTGCTCATGGGAAGGCACAGCCCTATATTGATTGGTATAAGGTAGCTCCCACATTATGTTCTGTCGCTACCTAGTACCTAATTATAAAAGAGACAGTGCTCAAAGGAGTCGATCTTCCACTTACAATATAAAGCTGCAGAGTTCATTTTATCACCTCAGGACTCCAACATCATACAGTAGTACCTCGACTTGCGTTCGTCCCTACTTACAAACGATTAGAGTCATGAACGGCTCCATTTACTTGCGTTCGTCCCTACTTGCGAACGATTAGAGTCATGAACGGCTCCATTCGCAAAAAGTCACTTCAACCTGTGAGTGGAGCTTCGACTTATGAACCAAAAAAAGAAAAGAAAGAAAAAGAAAAAGAAAGCTCTCCTGCCCCCCTTTTTTTAACCTAAGTTCACCTTAGGTCAAAAGAAGAAAAATAAAAATAAAAAATCACCCCCTAGTGGTAGAATACGGATTAACCAGCTTTGCATTAGTTCCTATGGGAACTAATGTCTCTACCTACGAACAGCACCTCAACCTATGAACAGAAAACAGCAGCTACGGATTAAATGGTTCTCAATGCATTCCAACGGGAAATTTTGACTCAACTTACGAACTTTTTGACCTGCGAACTTAATTCCAATACAGATTAAGTTCGCAAGTCGAGGTACCACTGTATTCTGTTATATGTGTCCATTCAGAACAATCTCACCAGAGAGTTTAATATGTGTATGTTTAGGGGGTCTATATGTGTATGTTCGAAAGAGTCCGCAGCTGAGTGTTATCATGTGTTGTGTTTGCGTGCAGAAACAATGGCACAGAAGTGCTGGACAGGAGAAGAAAGAGGATGGGTACAGCCTTCTGTGAGGGAGGAGCACAGCAAAAGATGCTAAGCAAAGCATCAGCATTTCGTGCTTTGCTCCTGCCACCCTTCTCCCTGGGAACAGGCCAGACCTAGATCTCAGGATTTCTTCTGGCCACTCTGTAAATGTTGAATCAAGGAGCCTGCACAGCACAGAAAGAGATAGAGCTCATTTGCACAAGAGAGTAGGGTTGCGAGGAAGATAATACTAATAACTGAGATAAGGAAGCAAAAAGGAAATAGTGGAGATCTCCGTGTTTTCCTCTTGGGGGGGGCACTCTCCCAAAGATTAATGATTTGTACAAAGTCTGGATGCCCTGTCCATCCTCTTTTGCTCCTTGCCTACTAAACATCTTCTTTCATGTGCTGAACCCCTCTTTCTCCAGCAACCACAGCCACTTTTGCAGATATTTACTCTGGATGGTGCGATGCAGGCAGCACTGCTGAGGAGTAGCATGCCATATCACGAAGAACATGCTTGAGAGGAAAACTCCTTGGCTGCCCAAAGCCAAACAAGAGCTCTGGGGAATGTAACCCTTCAACATATGTACACGTGCTGCTCACTAAGCACAGGACAAACAAAGCTTGCAAAAGTACATCATGCACCAGCAGAGACCATGTGTGTTCCAGACCCCATTTTGAAAAGCACAAAAAGGCACAGCTCTGTTTTGTCGACAGTATAGGATATGCCCAAGCCTGGCATGGATGCATGCATGCATGGGAATGGCATCTTAAGAGCAGGTTAGGCTGAGCAGACATACATCGACATGAGCAGCAAACACCTGCGCTGGGCACGTCCTAAAGGGCACCTGTGCTTTTCAAAACACAGCCTGCGGGAAGTGGTGGCAATGCATGAAATTTGTAAAAATAAAAGATTCCCTTCTTTGACTTGTATATTTCCTCCCACCCACATGGCATGTAAGTCTAAAAGACATGCTTAATTTACCACATTATCACATTATTTTAATCAAAGACTTCTGTTTATCGGAGGCGGAGAAGGGTGAATGCTCTCCTGCTAGTGTTCATTTTCATTGGATAAATTATGAGATTTAACTAAAAGGATGGCTAGGGTGTGTGCAAAATAATACAGTGTGAAATGTATTGACCAATATATGCTAATTAAAATACTGTATTGTTTCACAACGCAAATAAGAGCAGCAGCAGCAACAGCAGCAGCAGCAGCAACACTAGAATGCAGCCAGGAAGATCGCAGGCTTGCTGTCTGATCCTTGAACTCCTTCACCATGGCAAGCTCTATTGACCTGAGCAAAGCTTGTGTCAATAGAACTGCTGGAAGGCTTGCATCTTTAAAGACAGAAAGGGCTCCCCACCCACAGAAAGCATCTGCTATGGCTTCTGACTAGAAGTATTACAGGGTTTTCCCCTCCAAACCTGCTCTTTATGTTTGAACTGACAAGCTGAGCAAGTGTATATTCACTGAAGGAAAACTTTACACCAGACCTACATGGATTCATAGATTTTTGTGGATATTCTATCCTTCATAGGATCATAGAATAATTGAGTTGGAAGGGGCCTAATAGAGCCATTGAGTCCAACCCTCTACTAAGTGCAGGAATCCAAATCCAAAGTACAGTGGGGTCTCTACTTAAAAACGTCCCTACTTAACAATCCAACTTAAGAACAGCTCCATTTGCTAAATTTTGCTTCTACTTGAGAACAGAAATCCAAGATAAGAACAGGAAAAAAAAACCTTTCCTGCTCTTTTTCTAACCTTCGGTCATCTTAGGTTAAAAAAAAAAATCTCCCCCTAGTGGTAGAGGACGGATTAACCAGCTTTGCATTAGTTCCTATGGGAACTAATGCTTCAATGTACGAACGCACCTCTACATAACAAAAAAACAGCCAGAACGGATTAATTGGTTTTCAGTCCATTCCTATGGGAAATTTTGCTTCAACTTAAGAACGTTTCAACTTAAGAACACCATTCCAAAACGGATTAAGTTCTTAAGTAGAGGTTTCACTGTAGTTTCTATGGATGGAAAAGAGCAGATACGGATTAAATTGTTTTCAATGCATTCCTATGGGAAATGCAGATTCAACATAAGAATGTTTCAACTTGAGAACCACCTTCCAATACAGATTAAGTTCTTAAGTAGAGACCCCACTGTAGATCTGGCGAATACCTAGAATCTCTCTCTCTTTCTCTTTCTCTTTCTCTTTCTCTTTCTCTTTCTCTCTCTCTCTCTCTCTCTCTCTCACACACACACACACACACACGCCCCACCTGTTTATGGCTGACCTTGTTCTGCTGAGAGGTAAAATCTGTATTGTTTGGTTATTTGTTTTGGTTCGTTTTTTTGCTTGAGTGCCCAGACATCCCCAGAACAACTGAAGACCCTATCATTTTCTCAGCCACATGGAGAGTTCAAATGTGAAGAGTGAGAAGAACTCAACTGAACATGACCAGACTGTTTAGACTCTGCTGTTCAGCACAGCAAGGTCAGGACTGAGGGAAGTGGACCTAGTATTCAGTGGGATAGTGTGGTGGAGCCAGCGTGCACCTCCTCATGGCCTGTTCATACATTTAGCCCACACTGGACAATATGAAGGCTGGAACAGGGCTTTTAGGACAACATTATATCCGGTTGGTCATGGAACTATTTTACTAAACTATTCTTTTTCTGATGGTAACTGTGATGTAGTGCATTTCATTCCTTGTCTACTTATGCAGGGTAGATGATGTCGGTGGATGTATGATGTGGATGTCATGTGGAAGATCTTGCTTCAGGAAAACATTGAAAATAGAAGCACTTTTCAGGGTCCC